AAGAATAACTGGTAGTAATCGACAAAAACTGGGCCTGGATAATAATGAATGAACTAGATCAAATCAAAGTAGCAAAAGAAATATAATGGTCTTGAAAATTGGTCCTGGATCGGGCCTGGTCGCGTCCAACAGGCAATGTCCGTAATACGGAGGAAATGAGAAGGCAGTTCCACTAGCCCCAATCTGGGGCTCCACTAGCCCCAATCTGGCCTGGAAAACACTCCAAATTGGCCAACACTCGTCTCAAACTGGTCCCAGACTTGCCCGGAAGCCAGAATGCGCCCCAAATTGGCCCAGAATATGTTCCATGTTGGCTGCTCTGCACAATTGCAGGAACAAGAACACAAAAAGCCTATCCAACAATAACACTTGAAAGTTGAAACACATAGGTACACTAGGAACACATGAGAATAAATTGATCTACCTAATGCAAAACTGTAAAACAATTTTAAGGGATGATTGATTTTATGTACAAACATTTACTGATAACATTCAATAATTGAAATGTAGGACTGAGATTCGTGACAAGAGTATTCCCTTTACTCACCTATTTACAGAGCCAAGAAAAGCATTATCAGCAGCTCAGCAACAGGTCAGTCTTGATATCAGCATAACCAGAAAGCAGGTTCATTTAATGCAGCAGGTTAGTCAGCTGTCAGCAAAAGGCACTAGGTCAGAAAAGCAAATCTGCCTTGGTCAATAACAACCCATGAAGAAGATGACTTGGCACAAAAATGACTTTAACTGGCTTTAGTATTCCACTGATCTGAATCAATCTAACATTCAAACACTGGGGACAAAAAGAGAGAATTAATTGAAAACACTTAATAAATCATTTATTTGCCTAAATGCAGCCCCTAACTGTGTGGATTCTTGAGTGTGGTATTTCACGGGCATTTTTGTCCGATTCATTTGTGGCTTCTGCCTTATTTTCCACTTGGGCCAGCAAAAATTGCCTCCTATCTAATTATTAATAAAAGTGCACAATTTGGTTACAAGATTCCTAATCTATGGAAAATTTGTCAAATTAGAGCCACAAGATATCATTCATAAGTAAAGTATTTTATTCAAATCCTGGTGTATTAGAGCAAATATATGTCTGGTTATGCAAGTAACAACTACCTTCACATATCCCCAAATCCTAAGAATCTTCAAATGTGAGCCTGGGAGAGTTTGCAATGTCAAGGAAATAAATTTTGGGTCATGCTTACTGCCCAGTAGAGAATTCTAACTGCTCCTGTTCAGATTTAAAATGACAAAAAGTAGGTACTCGCTAAGGTAAGTTTTTTTTTCAGTAGCAGAACATTCCCTTCCAGGAGCCATTTACTTTTGATTGTAATACCAGTGAATCCATTTTCCAAACCCTGAAAAAATTTAGTCAGTTTCTCACTCATTTACAAAGTTTTATTATTATGTTAACTTTGCTAATTTTAACCTAGAAATAAAAGAATAATTTCTTCAATGTAGAACTGAATCAACCTCAACAATTTTTCATTTCCATTTATACCTAGGGTATAAATAAACGCCTGATTTCACGATCAACTGTTGATTGCTAAATAGTCATTGTCTGCAGCTACAACACCTGCACAAAACATCACAACAGCATTGATTAGATGGTAATTTTTACAGTTTGAGATTGACAATAGAGCTGAATCTCAAATTATACACATATTTTTGAACAGCAAGATTTCAGACTACATCAAAATATATGAATGAATATAAACCTAAATTTTCTATTATATTTGGCAAACTAATTCTTTATCCCTGTCCCCTCAGGGGGGACTTCTGACATGTGTCTGTGCTTGTCAGAAGTCCTATGGGATTTCACGCTCCTAGGGGGATTGTTCCTGAGCACCCCACCACTGAGCTTGCAGTGTCTGACCATTGCTCTCAGTTGTGGGGTTAAGTTATTATGTAGGCAGGATTCCTTACATTTCCCTTTTCTGTCTCTCTCGTGTGGGTGGCTGACGTCCCATGTAAGCAACCTCTTCTTCAAGTTTCTTAGTTTCTGTTGCTTTTGACCTGTCCCTCCTTGTCACTTCATCTCTTTGAGATGCTAATGCTGCCTCTTTCAAGCCAGCTTCAGCGGGCTGGACAATTGAGACCTTCCACCCCATGTGGGTGATAACAATTTGAGATTTGAATAATTAAGACCTTCCACCTTACTGGTGATGTTATGCTTTGTCCTCCGGTGCAAAAATAGCTTGATAGCTGAAGCGCTACCATCAACCGGGGCTACTTGGGACAGGCGGGGAACTCGGGACAGTCCTCCGACATGGCGTAAAACTTTTAGTAGCAAAACTAATTGGAATATTGCAAAACTAAATATAGTGGCGTAAACGTCAAGATTTTTCCTATCTATGTAGTATAAAGGAAGTTCAAAAATACTACATTTACTAGCTTTGAAAAATTCCTGAAAAAATTGTGAAAAACGATATTTTGAAAAGTTACTTCTGCTAAGGTCTGTAGTAGAAAAATATTTGCCGCATTAAAAAATTTCACTTGGAAAAAAGTGGCAGACAAGTGTCAGCATGGAAACTTTATTTGTGGAATTTACATACCTCAATAAAAAAAAATGGCGGCCATTTCCGCCCGGCGGGGCTACTCGGGACACCCCCTGGGGCTATTCAGGACACCCCCAAAAACGCATTTACAGTAGAACCTCAGTTAGCAAAGGCTCCAGTTAAAAAAAATTTATTAAAAACAAAGAATATTGATTACATTTACCTTGCTCAGCAAAAAAATTTCACTTATCAAAAAATCAGTGCATCGTTGGTCATCACAAAATTGTGCATAGAATGTCATGTACTGAATTGTGCACCAGGCATCATAGAATGAAAAGTAATTGACCTAAACTATGATTTATTTCTCCAAAACATATGATGGTTGTCACTAAAACATTCCTTTCTGTTTCAGGTATGTTTTTCACTTTTATAGTAAATTCACTTAACCCAATCAAAATGGTGTGAAATTACAAGCTGTCCTGTAAGCTTACAGATACAGAAAAAATGCTATAAGGCTGCTGATATGAAGCTTGCAGTGGACAAGGTAGTTGAAATGCTCAATGGCCTGTTCATGGATACGGTAACATCGCATCAATAATACGGTAATTAATGTGTATGGTAATATCATTTCAATAAAGGAAAAACAAGTAAAAATCACAGAAAATCTCATTTATTCTACCTCTACATCATCTACAATGAAAAAGGAGGATTTCAGAGTACTGTTAGTAATGGATGAGTACACTCTGCATGCTTCAAATGTTTTAAAATTAAGTTTTATTCCAAGTGTCCTGAGTAGCCCTGTTTGATGGGGCTACTCGGGACATTCTTTTTTTGCTTCTGGCACCTTACAAATAGCATATGGAATTTTTTTGAAGAAGCCGTGCGCTAGCCCTTGCAAAGAGCTCTGAAATGAGCCTAAACTTGTTTATGAAATGTTTCATGGTAAGAACTTATGAATGAAAATGTTCAAAATTGTCCCGAGTAGCCCCGGTTGATGGTAGCAAACCATTATACTACTACTTGTCCTTAACCCTGTTTGATTCATGCTCAGCCAAGGCAAAGTTTAGCCCTTAAAATATTTATGTGTCCTGCTTCAAGTTATATGACAGAACTCAACTTTATCATCTCCAGGCATTGCAATTTAAACTGCATTTATATTTCATTATAGTCTGTTAACATTATTGTTCTTACTGGATTACTGCTTCTCAAACAATTCTTGTTGTATTGTTCTAAAATAATCGAAAAGTTTGAAGCTTTTGTGCATAATTTTAAAGTGCATTAAGCGCTATTCAATTTCTATGAAGGTGCAGAAAACTGCTCTGATCAATTTGGCAAACTGCCTCTTTGCAAATGCTAAATTTTGCTTTATATATAGAGAAATTTTATCTTCATTGCTCGTGGTGAAATGAGCAATGACTCTCTGAAGTAATCTCCAAGATTTCTCTGAAATACTTTGTTGCCGCGTGTCTCCCGCGGGTGAGGCAAACACGTCGCCTACTTCTACTTGATAGGTTGGCAACAACCTACTTGGGAAGTGGATAATGAGGAGACTAAAATTGATCTTTTATTTTGCTATTTTTGAGGATTCATTATAATTATTCCCATATATTCTTAAGTTTGATTAGCGCGGTTTTGCTTAACACGGTAAAACTCGGGGATTTATTAACCGCGTTAATCAAGGGATTGCTGTATTGCAGCAAACAGCTTAATGAAGAATTAATGAACATCAAAATATATAGCTTAAAGAATTAAAACACACTGAACACAATTAATAGAAAATCAGAAAACAAAGCAAAATCACAAAAATATAAACCATTTGTAATATAACAAATTGAGCAAAAAAAATGAATGTATGCAATAAACAATCACTCACTTCCTCTCAAGTGGTGAGTAAGCTTAGGTTCCCATACTGGTGCAGTTATTAGTTATTCATTGGAATTTTACATTAGAATTATGCTTGGCTTTGGAATTTACTTTACGTTAATGATTTTACTTCCTTGTCTGGACTAGAGAAAGAGAGAAAAAGGGAAAAGTACATAATAAGTTACATAATGAGAAAGCACAGCACAGACATCAAATAAACAAGCATGATAGCCAAAGGGTTGGGCTAAAAAGCAATATAGCTCCCCCTGCAACAACTTACTATCTTGGGAGACTGGTTTTGAATGGGATGGATTTCATTCAAATTTCCCTTGACAGACAAAATTTTCAACAACTGTTGCAAAGCCTCACTTTGAAAACTACAGGCTATGCTTGTACTGCTCTCTATACTGAAAATTGTAATGTTTTTATCTAAGTATTATTACCTATGTTAGATTCTTTAGGGAAAAGATGAATTTATGGTTGCAATTCTCCATATATCTATGTCCTTAGGTATTGGGCTAAGAAAATGGTGCCATATTTAAAATATGAGTACTATTGTCTGACTTGTCTCCCTGATATCTATTGCATGTTGTGAAATTGCAATTTTTTTTAATTCTGATCATTCTCTTTGCAGTTGAATATTATTATTTTAAACTAAATCCAATTTTTATCAACAGCCCTAAACAGTAAGAGATACAAATTTATTGACTAAATTATCATTGCTCAACTCATTACTTCCAAGGCAAAGTTTCTATGACATAGGAAGCAATCTTGATTATAATTCATGATGGTAGCAAATTCCAAGATGCTATCTGTTCACTTTTGCCCTGGCTCTGTCAAGAGTGACAATCCTAAAGAGTTTGAAATTACTAGCAGTACAACTGTTGAACAAATGGTTCACATGGTTGTTGCTGAACTCAATATCCGACCAATATCTGTTACCCTCTTTGGGCTTCGTATTAAATCTAATAAGTTGTGGCTGGCTCCTTCACAGCTTCTTCATGAACTCCCCACTGAAGTAAGTTACCTTTTTTACATCATATTTTTCAGGTGCCTTTGAATAAACGTATGTGTCTAATCATCTGCTTTAAAATTACTTAAGAGACAGTCATTTAATCTATGCATCATTGTAGTGTAGAGTTACCATTTCCTTGAATTGTTTGTTGTTTTTGAGACTTGGCATAAATTTGCATACTTTATTAATAATCATATGTTGACATAAATTACTGTTAATGAATGGTACCTAGTAATTGATAATAATTGTACTTAATTGTTATATTTTTTTTAATATTTTGTAATGTTTTTATTGTAATTCAATTTCTCAAAAAGTACCTATAACAATAGTTAGTGCTCAATAAATATTTCATTAAAAATGTACCTATAAATGGTATTATCTAATTTCTATGTAGTGAAATTTACCTATCATCTATATGGCTCTCTGAGATGCCTTTTATTTCCAGGTTGACTAGTTTTTGCATTTCAAAACTACTTTTGTGTGAGATCCCATGCATGCACTGAAATTCTAAAATAGATTTTATAGTATTTAATTCTGCTGCTAATTGTCATATTTATGTGCAGGATCACAGTGTTCAATTAAGACTGCGATTCAGATTGCCATCATTTATGGATTTACAGCTGCTTGATGAGGAGGCTTACAGATATCTTTTTTATCAGGTAAATCAGGCAATGACTACACCTTTTTTATGACGACCTCTTGGTGCTTGTTATTTATTGCTCACTCAATTTCTAGTCTAAATTGGGCTCATCTTCTTATTTAATGTTTTAGGATACCGAACTTGACCTGAAAATTTTTTGTTCATGTCATTCTGTGCTTTAAAATGAATTTCTTCATTTTATCATGGGCTTGCTGTGAATATGATAACAGCTGATCTCTTAATTCAGGTGCGAGAGGATCATTTACAGGAGGTTCTAACATTTGACAAATTGGACAGCATGGGCCTGGTTGTTACAGATATTCTTCACCACATGTTAGCAGAAAGTGAGTGGTTATGTACTTCATAACGTTTGTAAAATAGATAACATGCCTGTAAGAAGTTAATCTCATTTACGATCTATATTATAGAGTGAGTTTCTGAGTCTTATCCAGTAAGCACTTAACTGTTTATTTTTCCAAAGTTAGGTATGTTTTTCAGATGTGCCGTTGAGTCGCATTGAGATTGGTCACTTTATGCCCCCTTCTCTGAACTACACGCTCAAAAGGTTTAATGTCAGAAGACATGTTGAAAAACTCCATGCTGACGCCCTCACTGCCACCCCTGCTTTTATTCGACAAAAATATCTTGAGAAGGTTTGTCAAGCTGTAAAATATAAATATAGACAATTTACATACAAGATATAAAATTGTTAGTTATATATGGTAGATTAAACTTTTGATGGGTTGTAACTGCTGCAAATGGCAACTTCTTCTATAACGGTGTAATTATAAAGCATCTGCAAAGCCCAAATATTCTTAGTTTAGACATGCTCTTGGTAGGTGATTTTTCATAATCTATGTTCATCTTCTTGTTTTTGCTCTTTGTTGTGTTCTTTCTCGTCATCTTACTAGCTCCTATGCTCCTATTTACCATTCCCAATACTCATTTCTTGTTGATCTTGCTACTAGCTTACTATATTTGAATTGCTATAACTCTTATGCCATTATACACCATATCCACTTTTTAGTGCTTGGACTCGTTGCAGGCATCAGAGTGCATGCAGGCACTCTGTCAGAGTCCTGAGAGCGATTCTCGAGATCTCGTAGGAACTGAAGAGTTCTTCGCTGAGAAGCTCGAGGGCGACAAGACCATCGCCATCAGAGTTATGGTAGCCCCTTTTCATCCACATCATCCTGGTCTGAGAGTGTCTAGGTCCAAGAAAGGGGTGAGCTGAATCATGTCATATTTACACCTAATCAAGAATTGGCCAATAGTATTGCATGACGAATATTTTGTTTATTCCATTATAAGTTTGCATGTCCGTGAGCCTGGCCTGTTCAAAATTTATTTATTCAATAAAAGATATTTTTATTTATATTTTTCAAATAATGTTAATTTTTTGCATAATCGTTTTTTTAAATCATTAATTAAATTAATTTAATAACTTCATAACTAACTAATTATCAATTAACTCTAATTCAGTTAATTGATTTATGCTTTGTTGTAAAAAAGTTTTAGTTAAATTAAAAAATATCTAATTTATGAATGAAGCAAAATATTGATCAGTTGATCAGTTTTACCTTTGGAAGTTATGGAATTGGGTCACGATTCCCTTAATAATATTGTCACTTACATTTTTTTAGTGTCCAAACTAATGCCTCTACTAATTTTTGTTATTATTGTCCACATGAATAATTGCGCACTTCCCTGTTTACTACATGAGCAAAATTTACATGGAAATGGATTTGCACATTAGCTCCCGGATTTTACGTCGTTCTGGTCGTTCCTATCCTCATTAATCCTCCCACATTCTCTGCTTCACTGTAAGGTATTATTTATAACGAGGTGTAGTTATCCTTACAAGTCACTGTTTTCTGCTAATCCAGATTTCCTTAACATAAAACTATCATGACGGTATTTTATCGCAATTTTTTATTATGTTATTGACATTTTTAAATAAAGTCTGACTATTCTCTGAAAATTAGCACCTATTGACGACTAATATACTATTTACACTTGATGTGTCCTGTAAAAATGTTTTGAAATGTATTTTTTGTTCAGGGCTGGTCGCATCTGTGCGGTCTAGAGGAGCTTGTTGTGATCTCCAGCAGAGCAAGTGACTGCACGCTGGAGTTGTGCCAGCTTAGCGGAGTGCCTCTTTACTTCAGCATGCCTAGTGTACAGAGTCTCCTGTCATTTGTCAGTTGCCTTTCTGGTTACTACCGCCTCTTCAAGTGTTGGACCTTCGACCTCTGCAAAGAAGTTACAGCACCCAGCATTGCTGTGCTCAAGAAAAACAAGTGTCATGGTCCTGTTGGGTAAATAATTTCTCCTAGTTTCATTCTAACTCCAATGAGGATTATGATTGTGGCCAACAATCAGTTACTATCAATTGACGCAAATTGCATTTCTGAATCCAAACTACGCATTTATGCACCAGGTTGCTCTAAATGCGCTGAAAAAAGATTAATAGCTTGTACAACTACCATCCCATTCATGCCATATCGCATGAATGGGATTTCATGCCATATTGCCTGAAAGTCAATTAAGATTTTCTGTAATGCTTAACATAACAACTTTTGATAACAACTTATTATTTATTTATAAGATAAATTTTCGAACGCTTTTAGAATTATTTTTTGCAGGCTTCTTCTCAAATAATCCAATATTAGTACGCTTTATAATTTGCAGTATTGGATCTCAACATATTACTTCAAAAATCAAGGATTACAAGCAGTGTCTGCGCTGTAATTGATAGGTAACCTAATATTTAGTTAGTCATGGGCCAAGATATTGAGCTGCCGTTCCTCGTCAGAGCGGAGTTTGCCCACGCTAAGCTACGACTTATTACCTCAAAAACCGACTTATTATTATAAGCAGTGTCTGCACTGTAATTGATAACCTAATATTTAGTCTGTTCCTCCTCAGAGCGGATTTTGCTCACGCTAAGCTACGTAGCAAGTGTGGAGGGGAGGCTGGTGTCGGTCTGCTACGCCAGTCTTCTCGCCACTTCGATCGTTACAAACTCGACGTGTTTGTGAACAAGCAGGCAAACATCCGCACATACACCATCACTACACAACACGGATTGGTAAGTTGAGTTATATTTTGCCGACCAGAAGAATTTTTAAACTACTTTGTTGTAATCGCTTATTACAAAAATTAAACTTTAATTGTGCTTAGTATAGTACCCTATAGTATAGTATAGTATCTTCGGCATTGAAGAATAGGCCTGGATAGGCCTGTCGCCGATACTTGTACTTTTCTTCACTAGTTCACAAATCTTCTTCACGAATGGTAGTCTTTTTCTTCACGAACGGTAGGTTTAAAATTGCTTCTGTGAATGTTGTGTTTCTTGTTGATTTGGTATACTCAAATGGCGCGTACAGAAAAGTGACAAACTGGCCTGGTTCACTCAACAGATAAAAATGAAGGACAAGTGATTTAATAGTTCATTTCAATTTCCTGATGTGTAAACCGTGTTAGGAATTAAAAATATTAATTACAAATTATTGATAATTTGCTCTCGACATTTTTACTAATGCCATTTTGAGAATCATTCTCATGAAATGAAAACATCGGTTCGGTTAGAAATTTCTATTTAAATTCATGGCCCCTACACTGTAGGCCTTTTCCTAAGTTTGTATCGACTAGTCAATTTGAAAACAAACCATTAAGTTCCAATTATTTATTTCAGGTTAACATCAAGGATGCAGGAGTTGATCAGCCTTTTGACTCCCTCTTGAAGCTCATCAGGCATTTGATGGACCGTAAAAACACAGAACTATCAGATGACATCTTGAACGACGAAATACTGCACAGCAACTCTGCAACTTTGTCCAATTCTCCAACCTGCAGCATAAAATCCTTGAAAAGTTTTTCGCGAGATCAAGAAAGTGATGTTAAGGTTGCATCTTCTTCATCATCCAAATCGATAGGTAGCGAAAACGCCGTAAATGCATCGTCATTGTCTCAATCTAAGCCAACACAGACGAATCGGTTGTTCTTATCCCGAATTATTCCCCCATCTGAGTATGACAAGCCTCCACTCCTGCTTCTCTGCGCTGGGAAATTTGATGACGAAAGTGAGAGCCAGGACAAAGGGCCTCGGGTGAGATTTGTCTTGTGCAAAATTCCGTCCATATTGTTCAACATTCAGTTCAATATTTTCGAACACTCATTTCAACAGTGTTCAACATTCAGTTCATTGTACCACCTCATGACTCCAGTATATTGCTTCATCGTATAATTTAACTTATTCAAATCAAAGTTGAATGCTCTCTGATTATACACAACTTTTTTTGATAGCCTGACAAAAAAAAAATCAACGTAAATTTGAGGAAAAATACAATAATTCAACACATTTAATACCTAGTTCAACTTACAGACGTGCATTGCCGCGTCCCTGCGACGCACATGTTTGAAATATTGTAGAAAATAATTTTAAAATTTTCATTCTCTAGTGTGTTGCTGACACCAAGCGTTTTTAGTTCCCTTAGAAGTATTTTTTTTTTCAGGTGTTCAAATTTGAGTCTTTCGTGTCTGAAAGCTCGACGTTGATCCAAGCTTCCTTCTATCGCGTCCTGCATGCCAGGAAAGCGTCTGATGAAAATAAACATTATGCCGTCAAGGTAAACCCCTCTTATTCTAACTTGATATTCTTTCATAAATTTATTTGTAAATGTTTTGTACTGTATCATTCTTTATAATTCGTTGACTGAAAATTGTACTTTTTTACATACTATATTTCTGGCTCATTTAAAGTTATGAGCCGATAATTATATTAATATAATTTGCTACAAGTCATCAGGATTGTTGGATGTAACCTGTGAGAGAATCAAGTGATAATGATTTTTTTTATTGTGTCCTTATCAAATCAAAGAAACTCACAAATTCGAAATAATTGTGGCTTCTCCTGTAAGATGTATTTTAATGCATGCTCCTCTGACTTTAATTCTATTTATACATCCTTGACATATGTGTTGAGCAGAATGATTATATTGCATGTTGAATAATTCTCAAGTAATAAATATATATTGTTTCATCACCACTATAGGACAATTCTATTACTATTGTAAGCCTATGATCAAACCTACGAATCTATAATTACCAGCAATTTTCTCTTTGTTTCAAACCCATGCCAAGCCCATTTCCGACATATGAAACCCATGCCAAACCCATGTCCGACGTGTAAAACCCATGTGCGACATGTAAAACCCATGTCCGACATGTAAAACCCATGTCCGACATATCAAACCCATGTTTGACGTATCAAACCCATGCCAACCCATGTCTGACATATCAAACCCATGCCAAACCCATGTCTGACGTATCAAACCCATGCCAACCCGTGTCTGACGTATCAAACCCATGCCAACCCATGTCTGACGTATCAAACCCATGCCAAACCCTTGTCCGACGTATCAAACCCATGCCAAACCCATGTCCGACGTATCAAACCCATGCCAANGATGCGCTTGATTACATTCCCATGTAATGATGCGCTTGATTACATTCCCATGTAATGATGCGCTTGATTACATTCCCATGTAATGATGCGCTTGATTACATTCCCATGTAATGATGCGCTTGATTACATTCCCATGTAATGATGCGCTTGATTACATTCCCATGTAATGATGCGCTTGATTACATTCCCATGTAATGATGCGCTTGATTACATTCCCATGTAATGATGCGCTTGATTACATTCCCATGTAATGATGCGCTTGATTACATTCCCATGTAATGATGCGCTTGATTACATTCCCATGTAATGATGCGCTTGATTACATTCCCATGTAATGATGCGCTTGATTACATTCCCATGTAATGATGCGCTTCATTACATTCCCATGTAATGATGCGCTTGATTACATTCCCATGTAATGATGCGCTTGATTACATTTGTCGCTGATCAGCAGACATGCGGTCGCCGATTAGCCATGGTTGGCAATGATTAAATTAAACTGATTAAATCATGTGATAAAATCATTTGATTTTTATAAAAAAATCAATATTTTTTTTAATATATTGAGTGGCAGTCTTCAATTTATTTTTAGGTATTGTTATTCATGTTTTAGTATAAACGTACTAAGGCAAATTGGAATATAAACCTGTTGCCTTTAGTGTGTATTACGTTCCAATGAATTGTATGATTTTTATTAAAGAGACAACAGTTTTGCAGTATTGCAACAGTTTTATCTTGCAATGCATTGTACATAACTAGCAGCTTAGCTAATTCTTATAAGGCTATACAATGTTGTATAGCCTTATGTTGTGTTGAAAATGCGGAACATTAAAATTAATTGGATTGATTTGAAAAAGTTGAATGAACGCGGAGATGAATAAAATATTTATACTCAATATAGTGTTTACAAGTTGATGTCCGCTCGAGATGCATGGTTGAATTTGTCCATTAAATATTCTACATTTTGAGGCATTAACTACTATAATTTCATTTATATACTTTTTTAAGCCGTTTTAAGGTCGATAAAAGAACAGTTTGGGGCCGTGTTTAATACTAAACATTTACCTTAGTATAGAATAAAATTATTAATTGAGATAGATAAGAGCTTAAGTATTCCTCTATTGCGTGAGGGGAAAGAACTTCCTCACTCTAATTTGGGCCGGTCATCTAGCACCCTTCCCTTCAAGTACATCATGTTTTAATCATTTGGACAAGTTAATCGAACACTGTTTATGGACAATGTCGCTTGGCAACGGATTTTTTTGGTATTTTTAGACAGCCTTTCCATGGGGTTGGCACCAATTGTTGCGTTGATTTACTCACTGCATTGAATTTCATGAAATTTAAGAAAAAATGTCCCTGCATCCTATTTGTTCTCAAAAAACTGTTTATCTAAACCCTCTTCTAGACCACCTACATACACACATCATATAATTGCCACAATGGACGTATGTGCAACAGGTAGACCTCCTGGAGGCGGTGACACACTTGGCCAAAGCTCTGTTCTTCCTGAGTCAAGAAGGCATCCAGCACAACAACATCCGCTGCCACTCGCTGCTGGTCGCGCGTCATCAGGATAACCAATTCCTCGTAAGCTAAAAATCCTGATCGTGAAAAAATTTCTGGTGAGCTTTAGTATTATTTATTGTTCATTTAGTGTTGTGTATTGTGATCAGGCAGATGAAATATTATAATTTCATGATGAAATTATTTACCATCTCTGAATCATTTATTCGAATGTTAAATGCAAATCCTGTAAAATTTTAATTTGTTCAACTTTGTGATCCAATTTTAATTTTTCTATCATCGCAGTGAATTAGATCCGAATTTGTCCAATGATAATTTGTGTTCTACTTTTTTTATTATTACATGTATATGAACGCGTAAGCACTAGTATGCTGGATCCTTGAATTTGGCTCATATGAAATCGTACAGACTCGAATGAAATGATGTTCTTAAGTACTTCTATCAAGAAATTCTCAAAGCCGCAGCGCTACTATACACGAAGAGCCGCCAGCCGGCATGCGGTCGCCGACATCTGCTACCCACAGCTGTTAGTTTATTGTTCGTCACTGCTATCTGTTTGATGTGAGATGTTCGAGGCGTTGCACAACTTAGCGCGTAACTAATTTCAGATCTGTAGCTTATAAGCCCTTCAGCTTGAGCTAACATTTATACTTGGTCGCAGGTGAAGTTGAGTGAGCCTGGCGGCTCTGTGGTGGATGAGACTTGCATCCACTGGATTGCTCGAGAGCATCACTATCATCCACCATCCTCTAAACAAGATCCATCCACCGACGTGTGGGCCTTTGCCACCACCGCCTGGCAGATCTTCAGCAATGGCCAATGGCCACTAAAGGGTTCGTTTTTTAATAACGCTGCTGGTTTTTATTTTGTCTTTAAACTTCAGAGTATTCTATCATCTGTATTTCATTGAGCTATGAGTTGCTTCTTTGACTAGATATGATAGAAATTCATCTCTTTATTTAAGCCTCTTTTGGAACCTTGTTTGCCTTTACGTGAAATTATCTTCATTGATTGTGCAACAAAATTTTCTTCTTTTTAGTAAGTCGGTACATTATGGTCTTATTGTGTATTTCCACAATGTAAGTTCTCAGCGATTGGTCAGTTTATATCGTGGTGCTCTTCATATAAATAATTCCGTGTTTGATTATCAGATGGAGACATAGACGCAATTCGGTCGTTGTACGCAGCAGGGCAAGTGCTCCCTCGACCCAAGCGGTGTCCTTATGATCTCTATCAGGTAATTTTATTAGCTTAGTCAAGACAGTGTGGGAAAAAGAAGTTTGTCAAAAATGCCTGAATTTCTTAAAAATTACTAGATTTGGCCATGTTAAAAATGTACAGTGAAACGAATTCCACTTTAAAAAATAATGCATTCAAATCTTTTGGTAAATTGTTTGAAATAAGATTTAAATTATTTGTAAGGGTTTCGATGTTGATGGCTGCTTTCTTTTGGTGTTCGTTACATAGTTACATCATATATAACAATACATATCATTGTTACTGAAAATTACCTGATTATGGAACATCAATACAATGATATGCACTTTAACTGGTAGCAAATCGTTCCAGGTAGTAGCCAAAAATAAGTCAAATTAATCCTTCGTGTTCAGGTGATTTTCTCTCACTGCAGATCATGTTAAGATGTTGGTCTCCAGACCCTAGTGCGCGACGCCAGCCTCAGACCATCATGCGCGATACATTCCACTTACTTTATGAAGGTGCTTATTACCAATAAATTCCACATACTTTGTCAAGGTGATAACTACCGATGTTTTCCACTTAACTTTATCTAAGAAATAAGAGCTAACACATTCCACTTACTTAATTAAGTTGATAACAGCCGATAAATTCACTTTTTTGTGTCCGTGATAACTGCTTAATGCTGCAGTAATGTTGCTCACGGTGGTTACAGCGATATAATGAATCCTGCCTTACTATTCTAGCGTGTAATTTCTGGAGCCTAATTTATTCTTATATATCGTAACTGTTGACTTGGTGATTAGTTGGTTATTTCTTTACTGATTTTCAGTATTCAACTCAAGACGACAGAACGCCTACAGCTGCATCAGCGAAGACGGCCTTGACGGTGAGTTTACAACGCTCTTGATGAGAATTACGTGCTTTAATTCATTTATTGGTCTATTGCTGGGAGAGACAAAATGTCTTTTATTTCAACAAGAAGTCCTCTGGTAAGTTCTAAAGCTACCAAAGGAGAGCAGCCAATTTAGGTCATTTATCTCTTTATCAATTATTTTAAATAGCATGGATCGTTCGTACGTTAGATCGCAAAGGTAAATGCGAACAATAGGTTTATTTTATTTTTAAGGTAGGTATATATGACGTAATTCATTTTAGAAAAATATTAAACGATGTTCTACTAAATATTTTAGTGTGCTACTAACCAATAAATCTGAATACGATTTTTTATTTTAATATAGTTTCAGTATCATATTGAGATAAATTAAATCGGATGCTGTATACCGTACAGAAAAGTTTTTTCTCAGATACTGCCGACAGCTCTGCTACACGACCCAGCCCTGACAGACAGAGCGCCGAGAACATCATCTACTCCCCGCAAGAGCCTGACATTGACGTGTTGTCGGCTATAGGTAACGTTCCCTATGAATTCAGTGACTTGAATGATGGAATGGTTCAAAAAATAACCTTATCGCAAGCACAGCATAGCAAAATTCCTATCAGCGATGTTATTTTTAGCTCATTTTCTCGTTTATGGAAAAATGCACTATTGTGCTCGCCATGTCCGTCCGTCTGTTTGTCCGTCCGTGACTTCACGTTTAAGTCGACGAGAAAAGGCGCTCTCTGTCACTCACTGCAGTGAATACTGAGTTATATTTTTTTAGTTTTTCTTGAAAATAAAGTTGATGAAGCAGCGTTAACTGCTGCTACACTGGGCGGTCCAAAGCTTGGCCAAATGAAGCATAGTTTACAGTATGAAATTAATAGAGTTCTTTTACATTAAATTTCAGGTTCTGTGGATACAACCGTGACGACCGTCGGCAACAGCGACATGACTTTGATCCACGTAGACGAGGAAGATGACGACGTGCACGCTGACCTGCGCGTGGTGCCGCGCATCTCCGACCTTCCTCTTGCAGATGGCTCCATAGCTAAGGTGTATTATCCATTCATGCGCATCACTAGATACAAAATAGATTAAATAGTTTCAATGCCATTTGAAATGTGCCTGTATAGTAGCGTTTCAATAGTAAGTGTTTGATTTCTCAGAGTTTGGTTGGCTTCCTTGCACTCCACCCGCATTTTTAGGTGTTACTATATCTGTTCTCTTTTACAACTCTGAGATCTTACACTGCTTTTTATTGGCCTCTTTCGGCGTAAATCAAAACCTTGTATCACTTTTATTGATAGTTAACTTTGAAACAAGATTTTGCAAGCTCTTCTTCTGAGGCATGAAGTTGTTGAACGGACCAGCTATTAAAGTAATGCGAGTTTCTATGTTGGAACTCAGATTTTTAATGTTCCTTGAGTTCTAGTTGCCGGAAGTTATTCTAATTCATGTCGAGTTTAATAGTAACAAAATAATAGAATGGATTCTAATTATTTTGAGGCGAGAAAGGTCATGATAGGCAACTTTGATTGATCCTTCTGTGCAATTTGCTCTACATCAATTCCACTACTGTACATGCGCTCGAAAGTAATTGGTAAACTAACAGTGTATTTTGTTACAATTTCCTCTCCTGTCATATTTTTCTTATTAATACGGTTAATTTGATCGTTGATGCGATTCTAGAATTTTCAAAAATTTTATGAACTATTCTTTTCCTCAGGTGGTGATGGGTGTGTTGCCGCAGCTTCCCCTGCCGTTTGGTCGAGGGGCTACGTTGCCCGACTCTCATCTCGCTCCTACTCCCTTCCTCGATCCCATGCCTGCGCTATCACCCATACAGCCCCGCACCCAAGCCCCTGTCAACCATCGTCCTGCCTCCAGGTAATAATAAAACGAATTTCTGCGAATTTCCAGATAATAGTAAAACAAAACAGTAATTTCTGCGTTGAAAATTACCTAGACTATCGCCGATAATAGATATAGCAAAATTTTCACAGCCTACCAGCGCTCGAACACGAACTCCTGCTCCCGCTCAGCCAATCAAGCGATAAATGAATGAATGAAAATTTTAAATTTACTCATTTATTTTCGAAAGAAACAACTTGGTAAGTGCCTTGGCAGGGTGGGTCAATGGTTAAAGTTCAGAGTACCAAGATTGGCGCAGAGAGGCGCGGGTTCGATCCCAGCTCTGTGCGCCAGCTTCTGGTCAAAATCGGCAAGGAGGCCGGGCGGTTAAGCAGAGCAGAATTGTAGCAGTGAGTTGCGAGTTCAAGCCCGCAACAAGCTGTGGATGTTCTGTAATGTTGAGAATCGGCGACAGGCCAACGGCCTAATCAACGCTGAAACAACTATATTATATTGACAATTGCAAAAATTTACATGCATTCAAGTGAATAGTTTTAACGACCATAAATGTATTTGATGGGACACTTGGGGGAACTGAAATTCTGTATTGCATGTGCGAATCTATTCTTTCCGAGTAGAAGTAGATGCTACTTTAAAAATTTAATGTTAAGTTTACCTCATGATTTGATTTGTTGACAAATTTACCAGGTAAATTACTGCATAATATCTTTCAATCTTAATCTCTGCGTTGAAAATTCATCGCCGATATTAGATATTGCAAAATTTTCACAGCTTGCCAGCTCTCAAACATGCAACTCTTGTTCCCAATTTTAATGCTCTTGGCCAATCGGCCAATCAAGCGTATAAATGAATGAATGAAAATTTTAAATCAACGCATTTAGTTTCGAGAAGAATAACTTGGTAAATACCTTAACATTGGCAAAAATTTCCATGCGTTGAAGTGAATAGTTTCAACGGCCATGATTATGAATGTATTTGATTGCTTGATTCATTTCATTGTGCTTTTAGAAAGCACTGTTGTGCCGCCTGGTGATTTCGACCGTAAATTAATTCTTATTTGAATGTTTGGGCTTAAATAAGGATAAAAGAATCTCTGTTTTACTTTTAGCTTTTAATAATAATTTTTCGAATTAAATTAATAATGTATCGCTTTGGTGTGCTTTAACACAATTATTGTACGGAAATTGCTGCGATGGTCGTATTTTGCAGATTTTCACCCTATCATTGTTGAAGTTCATTATTTGACAGCCACTATATATCAAAACTGAATGTTTAAAGTAAATATGGGACACTTGGGGAACTGAAATTCTGTCTTACATGTGTGAATCTACTCTTTCCGTGCAGACGTAAATGCTAATTTAAAAATTAAATGCTAAGTTTACTTCATGATTTGATTTGTTGACAAATTTACCAGGTAAATTACGAATCTTCTTTTCATTACTCTGAACAGTGTATTTCGCAGAACCGGGACGCAATTCTACTCAGCGAGAAGTAAGAAGCTATCTTGTTACAACAATAATTTTTGTTTCAACGGATCAAGCTTTCGTTATTCAGCACTGCGACAATCTTGTTGTATTTAGCCAGGATGAACAATAAATTTTATGCTCCTCCCGCAGCACCAAGAGCCTGAATGAGGTGCTTGTGCCGCAGTCTGCTCAACAAGATGGACAACTTTTTGCTGGCCAGATTCTCAAAATGGACAGATCTAATGTCAAAATAGAGGCTCATGTTGGCGAGGTGCGTTTCCTTCAAATCTTTCTGAAGCGGAAACTGTCGAGTCGAATCGCTGTGTTTCAGAGGAAGCAATTCACTTTGGTCATGATTAATGTAATAGGTAACTTTCTTAGTATAAACGAAACTTTCCTTGATCAGATGACAGCAGATTCTTGAAAAATTATTCAAAAAGTTTAAATCATTTCACAAGCGTTTTATAAAACATCTCGGATGCACAACTCTAATTGCAGGATTCAATTGTCCCAAGAAATATCTCGTGAAATGTCTGAAATAAGAGCACTTTTGCGTTAAACATCTGTCTAATAAGATAGTATGATAAGCTGCCGCGACATGGCTGAGGGACCTACAACTTTTTTTTCATGCAGGGTAACTACGGTTGGGTTTACAAAGGCCTGCTCAGCACTCCCGGTGGAGGTCCCAACGATGGACCGGTGGCTGTGAAGACGCTCAAGGTGGTGACGGGACAGCTCGACGACATGTGTCGCGAGCGTGACATCATGCAGGTCGTGTAACACCTGTCCAATAAGATGTATGATCCTCTGCTTCGTAATTGCACAATTCAAACTCATTTATTAGGCCTAAATGAGCTGAATATAGGTACACATTTCCTTCACATAAAGGAGTTTATTTTTAATTAATTAATTTAACTTTAAATTTAAGCCGCCTCACACTCACATCCAAGATACGAAGTCACACAGCAATTTTTGGTCAGTTGAAGGTCGTAGCTAGACTTCCGTAGTGAACTTGTATCACTGTTTTCATTTCTTTCAACGCAAAGTGTGTACTTAGTTGAATTAGTTTATTTTTTGATTCATTATGTGTACTGTGCCGTTCATTAATTATTTTCGTTATAATTTCTTGGGATGTACTGTGTCGTTAAACTTTTCTCTGATCATGAGTCTACAGTATTATGAAGTAAAAATATGAATTTCAGAAGTTGAATCACAGAAACATCGTTCGGCTGCTAGGCGTGATCAATCAGTCAGCTGACGCGGCGGGCAGTGTGCTTGACGAGCGCATGTACATGGTGATGGAGTACCTGGAAATGGGATCCCTCAAGACTTACCTCCAGCAAAACCCCTCCATTGGGGACCCTACGTTGTTAGACTTTGCTCGAGACATCGCCATGGTGAGTGGATGCTCTACCCAGACTCGAAATACATTTGAATATTATTATTTGAGCGTGAATTAGTGTTTTCCTGTAATGTGGTCTAATCAGAAGTACGTCCAATTCACAAGACAATCTTGTTGATTTGATAATTTATTCGGATGTGATCAAAAATTGAACTGAAGTTTTTTATCCTATTTAGGGCATGGACTACCTGGAGTCGCAAAGAATTGTGCACAGGGACTTGGCAGCGCGTAACATTCTGGTCTCCTCTCCAAATCACGTGAAAATATCTGATTTTGGCTTGGCTCAACCGCTGTACGCCTCAGCATATTACGTGCTCAGAACAAAAAGAGATCTGCCTCTTCTATGGTGAGTTGGATTTACTTGGACTCCTGCTGTTTTTCTTTGTTCATAGTTTCGAATAGTACATCTGACGCAAAAAGAGGCAGTACTAATCTGCGGGCAATGTATTTGTTTTACACTTATATGTTCGCTAAATACTGTTGGGCCTTAATCTCTGAAGTACGATGCACATGTGAGCATCAACTACTTCAAGGCGATTATTTAGTTAAAGCCCATTTAAATCAATACTCAGAAAGACGTAGCAATTTTTTTAACACAGAAACATCGTTCGGCTGCTAGGCGTGATCAATCAGTCAGCTGACGCGGCGGGCAGTGTGCTTGACGAGCGCATGTACATGGTGATGGAGTACCTGGAAATGGGATCCCTCAAGACTTACCTCCAGCAAAACCCCTCCATTGGGGACCCTACGTTGTTAGACTTTGCTCGAGACATTGCCATGGTGAGTGGATGCTCTACCCAGACTCGAAATACATTTGAATATTATTATTTGAGCGTGAATTAGTGTTTTCCTGTAATGTGGTCTAATCAGAAGTACGTCCAATTCACAAGACAATCTTGTTGATTTGATAATTTATTCGGATGTGATCAAAAATTGAACTGAAGTTTTTTATCCTATTTAGGGCATGGACTACCTGGAGTCGCAAAGAATTGTGCACAGGGACTTGGCAGCGCGTAACATTCTGGTCTCCTCTCCAAATCACGTGAAAATATCTGATTTTGGCTTGGCGCAACCGCTGTACGCCTCAGCATATTACGTGCTCAGAACAAAAAGGGATCTGCCTCTTCTATGGTGAGTTGGATTTACTTGGACTCCTGCTGTTTTTCTTTGTTCATAGTTTCGAATAGTACATCTGACGCAAAAAGAGGCAGTACTAATCTGCGGGCAATGTATTTGTTTTACACTTATATGTTCGCTAAATACTGTTGGGCCTTAATCTCTGAAGTACGATGCACATGTGAGCATCAACTACTTCAAGGCGATTATTTAGTTAAAGCCCATTTAAATCAATACTCAGAAAGACGTAGCAATTTTTTTATTTCCATACTGTGTCATTGTAGCATAAGAAGAGTGGCGCACAAATCGACAGTAAATCCAGGGGCCATACTTTCAAAACTCGCTAAGTGAACGTAAGTACTTACGCTCGATTTTCTTGTCTATGATTGTTGGATTTTGCTTGAAAGGCCGTCAATGATTGGCTAATGAACTTACGATCTCTTAACTTTTTTTGAAAGTATAGGCCCTGGCTCGGTAAATTTATTTACTAATGAAACAGTCCCAATAATAGTTGACAATTATTATTTTTCAACCCAATTTGACGTAAAAAATCAATTTCCATTGTCGCGCGCTAGTATATATTAATTCTGTTTTTCTCTGATTTCTTAATGTTTTAATCAGCTATATTTACTCGCTTTTGGTAAGTCCATTTATTGAGCGATATATTTTATTTAAAATATTCATGGAAGTTACAACATTTTATGAATGCTTATAAATTAACGAATTGATGAGTAAAGTTCAGTAAATACCAGAATGAAGAATCTTATAAGCCATTTTCTTAACAGGTATGCGCCAGAAAGCATAGACAAGATGCGGTACTCGTCCAAGAGTGATGTTTGGTCGTACGGGGTGACGTGCTGGGAGATGTTCACCAGAGGCAAGGAACCTAATCTGCCTCGAGACCCCAACAAACTGCTCATGGTAACGCCATACAGCATTTATAGTTCCTCCATTTTTAGCGCATTTTCTCGTTCATGGAAAAAATCCACTATTGTGCTCGCCATGTCCGTCTGTCTGTCTGTCACTCACTGCAGTGAGGACTGAATTACATTTTTATTCCTTTGGACTAGAAGATATTTCCTAACATTTTCTTAGTATTATTCGCTGCTGCGAGGTGATGATTTTCGATGTCTCTCTTCCATTATTTAAATTTTTGTTCACAGATTATAATATTTATTTAAATTGTAATCGGTTATTGCTTGCGAGACTTGACATGTTGCAAATTTTTTAAGCGTTTCACGTAAATCATAGGTTCTTCGTTCTCCACATTGCTAGAATAAACTTTCCGAGTAAAATGTTCCAATGATTATAAACTTTTGGCTTTATGTTTTTTCCCTTTATGCAGTATAATTTTGTAGCTAGAAGATAAAGAGAAGTTATTTTCGGTAAATAGGTGCAGATTAACACATTTCTTGTTGACAGATCAATACGGTACCAGGGTAAGGCGATGTTTCAAGACATCGAATACAAGTTACATTCCTACTATTTGTGTCCGATCATTGTTTCTTCTCAGTTGTTAACATTTTCTGACGACAGGCTCTCCAGCAAGGTATCCGTTTGATCTGCCTGCCTCCGTGCCCCGAGATCGTCTACAGCCAGCTCATCAGAGTCTGTTGGGACCACGAGCCTAGATTACGGCCAGACTTCTCGTCTCTAGTCAATGTTGTCAATGAATTGAAAGAGGAGATGATGTGGTAGCACGGTCCGTATTACACGAGCATGTATCAAGAGCAGAAAAACGCGAGTGAAATGAATCAGGTACGAATCTTGCTATCATGTGCGTTGTAGTCTAGGGACCGTTCAACCTAACCTAACGTGAGAAATAGTTGAAAAATAATTGCTAGATAATGCTTATTTATTTGTTTGAACATAGGTTGCTGCTTGTGTCCGTCTAGTCGCTCTCACAGTACAAATACGGTACACGTCAATTGATAAATACCTGGAATTATTTCTACTAAAGTTAAAGAGTTAATCGAATTGCCCGAAATTAATCTTGATTTGTCGACTGTAATATTCTTATTTATTTACTCGTACAACTCACGATACTTCAGAAAATAATAATGAGTGAAAGTTTTGCTCAGTGAAAGCATTGCTCACTTCGTTCCAAGGTCAATGTATAAAAATAAGCGAGTCTCGTGAGGCCGTTCGATGAATTAGCCTGTCTTAGCCTTCCAGTGCAACAATCAGTTCATCATGTAGATAGCTAAGACGCCTTTGGTCAAATTTACTGCAATTAATTTTGACTGAAATGATAATATTGAAGTAGTGCCATTAGGACACTTAAAAGACCAAGGGCCACTAATTGCCTGTAATAATCAATGCATTACCTGCTTTTGCTGACGCTCAACAACCTTTGCCTCAGAAGCTGACCGACACGGCAATAATAATACTACAAGCAACTTTAATCCTCATGAGTGCGTTCGGACGTCGCTGGCATGTGTTAAATAATTTATGTGCAGAAATTGGTGGCAGAAACGCCCCAAATTGATTCCTGAAAAATCCCCCTAACGTCGACGAAAACACGCTAGAAGTCAGTTAGTTAAACAGAAAATAATTAACTAAGTTTAAGGAATCTAAGACTTAATCCTTATACGATGATTTTGCATTCTTCGGCGATCCTTTGAACGCCTAATCTTTTCTGCTGTTGAAGGAATTGTAATTAGCCTTCATTTTAAGCCAAACGGCAAGTAAAATAGAGTAAACCTTCTCTTTAGTTGTGCTCGACGTTTTGTGTGTTTGAAATTTAATTACTTCGCTTCAAATCCCGATTGTCTAGAGGAGTGGGAACACTTAGGATTTAGCATAATCATTTACAAATCTGCAAGAAATAATATGAGCCTGTCGATCCATTGCTGGTTTTGGAGCAATAACATCTTGGCTGCGTGGTTTTGATGGTTAATGACTTGTTGGTTATTGAGAAGGAAGCTGTCAGAAATATCCTGATTGTGTCGTTCGAACGATGTTCACACAAAAGCTCTGTACGCACTGCTGCCCCTAGACGATCATCGGTAATCTGATGTCATTGAACGGAATGATAACATAACATCTCATTCTAAACCATTATATTTAGTGCAATATTTTGTGTCCACGTTATTGCGTATGTTGCAGCAAATAAAAAATTTATATATATTTGAAATCATATGACGATACTTTGTAGTATTTATTACTGGAAATTTATACGTAATCCTCCAATTACCGATCAAATGTGATTATCAAACACGTAAAAAAATTGCAGATGTCACAGGTGACGCGTTGTGCGCATGCAACAGCGAGTTAATTTAAATTCGCTCGCATTTTGTTTGCTTTTCTGTCAAACTTGCCAGGTTATAACTTATCTCCGAATACTGGCTTATTTCATTCAGGTAGCAACTGATTGGTTATCAATTGCAATATTTTCATGAACAATTCATAGGCAAACTATGACTAATTCAAGACGATGTAATTTGTGTAAAATGATTCTGTGATTTTTTTATGATTTGATAAGTTCAACAATTTATTATTCCAGAGGTTCTAATTTGCATTAGGTTCTAAAACCTGCACTACTAAGTCTTTGCAGAGATATTACAAATTTGAAAATTTTAATTAATTATACTGTATAATAAATATAGTATAACATAAATAAAACGTTCTTCACAAATGCTGTCTAACTTTAGTTTAAAAAAGAAATAACTATGATTTGAATTGAGAACAATTGGAATGTGGGTAGTGCATGGTTCACATAAATATAGTTCACATGTATTAAAAAGTTTTTGCAATGATAATTCAATTTTTGATAGAAGTCTTGTCTTTTCAATTTGTTTTCAATAAAACAATTAAATGTCCAATGTTGATTACCAAAATGTCTTTCGCGTTCACAAACATTTATTGCGTTCATAAATATACCCATAACTCATTAATACAAGGCTGTGTCTGAATTGAAAACAAATTTATCAAAAAAATATGTAAGAACTTGACCACCTTTGATGAGCTGTGACGTTGGATGAACGACATTAATGAAAATATACGTTGGACTTAACAGTAACTAAAACCTTACCCTCAGAAATGATGCTAGGATAATAATGTTAATAATAATAATAATTACTGGAGATGAAATTACGCAGCAACAAAGGAGTTTATCAGGTCGTTGATGGGCGCATTTGTCCAGTTGAAGGAGATATCATCAAAGTGTAGATCAAAGTCCACTATCTCTTGATGAACTTGTTTCTGCAGCAACTCCGACACAGAGCTCAGTGACCTCGACTCCAAAGTAACGCTGGTAAACAAACACGTTCTCATTTCTCAACTCTTAAATCAAGACACTTATACACCCAATATGTTGCACATTCATCAAATACATTCATAATCTAATGCATTAGAATATTTTTAAAACTGCTAGAATCAAAAGTTTCACATGCACCGAAGATTAGTGAACTTCTCTGATGTTAAGTTTAATTCAACTTCAACAATAAAAAATAAATCAAAATTTATAACAACTGTGCTACTCAACAAGTTAAAAATGAAACATGAAAATGACTTCATTAATTACCAAGGTATCTTAATGGAAATTTTTATAGCGTTCTTACCAACTCTTGTCTCTATTCTTCCATTTCCCATCCTGTGTCACTTGAGACACTATAAGTGGGTTTGACTCCATCTGTAGGCACACTTTGCGGTTGTCCAACTGAAAATTAAGGGATCAATTAAACTTCTAATTAGCTAGAAAAATTATTCGGCTCAAGTACTTGAAAAATATAACTCGGTACGGGTACTCAATGCAGCGAGTGACTGAGAGCGCATTTTCTCGTCGACGAAAACGTGAAGTCACGGACGGACAGACAGACGGACATGGCGAGCACAATAGTGCATTTTATCCATAAATGAGAAAATGCGCTAAAAAGTTCACAATACCAAGCCTATTCCCATTAATTCTGTTCAAAATTCGACCATATGCAAAATTAATTCATAATCAAGTTTCTATTTGGATGCTTTTAGCTGACCGTGCATCGCTAGCCTTGATATTAAAACACATTGTAATTACAAATTACCGAAAATTGACTCAAGAGTCAATAGACTAAAATGAAATTACCAGATATTAGATCCTTCAAACCAATTCTGTCCTTTTTAGCGTATTTTCTCATTTATGGAAAAAATTCACTAGACTCAAGAGTCAATAGACTAAAATGAAATTACCAGATATTAGATCCTTCAAACCAATTCTGTCCTTTTTAGCGTATTTTCTCATTTATGGAAAAGAGTCAATAGACTAAAATGAAATTACCAGATATTAGATCCTTCAAACCAATTCTGTCCTTTTTAGCGCATTTTCTCATTTATGGAAAAAATGCACTATTGTGCTCGCCATGTCTGTCCGTCCGTGACTTCATGTTTTCGTTGACGAGAAAATGCGCGTGTCACTCACTGCAGTGAGTACTGAGTTATATTTTTTAAACAGCTTGCCAGCTTGTGACGCTAGTATGACTCATTTAAGTCATTTTTAGCGCATTTTCTCTTTTATGAAAAAAAATGCACTATTGTGCTCGCCATGTCCGTCTGTCCGTCCGTGACTTCATGTTTTAGTCAACGAGAAAATGCGCGCTGTCACTCACTGCAGTGAGTTCTAAGTTATATTTTTTTACCTTACATACCTCATTTTACATGATACTGATTTACCTCATTAGCCTGGTAATAACAAACAGACAGATAAAACGTGTATAACATTAGGGTTTTTGTTGCAGCCATTTCAGAATAAATAACACTTGAAGTTTGTGCTCAAAAATCCATCAAAACCATACCTTTGATGCAATCAGTCGTTTACATTTAAAACCAATCCCCAGGTCAGCATCTATTTCTATGAATTAACTATACTACAACCATTGTTATTTAGTCTTTATTGGATGGGTTAACTTACCTAACTAATTTAGCTTTAGGATTTAGGAATCAGTTAGATCTAGGTATTTTTTGGCATTATATATAACTGAATAACAGCTTCACAACAAACTTATAAATACATAAGTTTCTACCCTTATAGTTGGTGTCGTTCATCTAAATTCTTAATTTCTAACTAACAAATTAAGCTAGCTCATTATCAGTACCTTCAAAAATTAAGATGAAAACCAGTAATAATAGCTCATCTTCAAAGTATAACATCTAGTTTGAAGCTACAGATTCGATCTAAGACTTCTCATATTAGATTCTATTGTCTGTTCTATCATTTTTTGTTTCATTTCAAGAATAACATAGCACAGCAGTGTTTCCAGCACGGAAGAAGACTGGTGTGGCCTGTCACCAATTCTTGTACTTTTTACAACACTTCTCTTTAACTTCACTTCTTGCTGTTTGTTAGTCTGTCAGTCTGTCTGTCTGCTACAAATCTTACCTATAATCAATATTTAACACACTTCTACCTGTCCAATCTATCTGAAATTTGTCACACTTGCGTAAAGTTGGAGACAATGCATGAATCAATTGACAGAATAAATTATTTTAAAAATAAATAAAATTTGTTTTTTTTTTCAATATTAAAAAAATTAAAAATAATTTTGTCAGCTACAAATCTTATTATCAATATCTGACACACTACTACCTGTCCAATTGTTCTGAAATCTTGCACACTTGCGTAAAGTTGGAGACAGTGCATGAACCAATTAACAGAACAAATAATTTTACAAATTAAAAAAAAATTTCATTATAAAAAAATAAAAAATTATTTTTACATAATTTCATCTGCTACGGTACAAATCTTATAATCCATATGACACAATTTGACCTGTCCAATCGTTCTGAAATCTTGCACACTTGCGTAAAGTTGGAGACAATGCATGAATCAGTTGACAGAATAAATAATTTTGATAATTTGCAAAATTTTGATATCTTAAGAAAATTTTAGAAAATAATTTTTTTTAATATTTGAAAATCAAATTAGAAATTCATTGTGCATGTGTAACATCCAAGACACAGGATTGTTCAGAAGTGTTGTCTTTAAAAAGTAATTTTTAAACACATATTATATGTACTGAGTACATAATGAAGGTGCTCAAATAAATTTAGTGCTAAAAATTAACAGAAGAATTTTAATTGAGCTTAGGTGAGTCTAGAAAACACCTATTGAACAAAATTATCTGTTTTAATTAACCTGTAAAAAATTCATTTATCAACTATGTTACAAACTCAAGAGGCTTACCATTATCAAGCAAGCAGAATCATAATTCTCAGCAATCTTTTCTGTGATTTTCATGGCAACAAAATCTGGTCTGCAATAGATAAACAGGAATAATAACATCAATAACACAGCTAAATAAGATAAATTTGATGTTAGAAAATACTATGAAGCAGGAAATAAATAACCAATTATCACACAAACAATTTGATCTCAAAAGTTAAATAGCTACCTGAAAATGTTTACAGCTTTCATCTTAGTATTATTGTGAATGAGGAACACCTTATTCTGAATTTTTTCAAAACAATACATTTAATATTTCAGATATATCAATGTAAACTCAGTCCTATATATACCGGTATTTGTAGAACAACAAGCATCAAGTACAACTTAAATATGCTTCAAAATCATCAAATTTATTATCATTGTAATGTTCAGTGGACTAGAAATTTAAGTAAATTTCTATTTGAAAAATTCAGGTCCAGTGATTGCAAGACTTGAAAAATTCTGACTTTTACTAAATTAGAATGCAGAATATTTTATTAAGAAATGTATACAAGCTACTCCAATACTCACACCACATCTTTGACATGCTCATTTGCCTGGTAATAGCCAACAATTTGAAGACCCTTGGATCTGTAGTGAGTTTCCACCTGCAACATTGGAAGAGATATAACTACACATAATTACTGATAAGTGATGAGCCATGGGTATGCTATACTTGGATTTGAGAAGAAAAAAATTAGTTGTGTTGGCAATTTAGGAGACAATGATTATGCCTTTCTTTCTAAACCATGCATAGTATGAATTTAGTTCATTCACTCAATTGTAGGCATTAAATGATTAATGCATTCCCTTTCCATGATAGCATAAAGCTAGGATATAACTCTTGAAATTTGTATTGAATATTATGAATTAATTTCATGAATGCTCCCCCATCTCAATCTTATTGCCTTTAGCAAACCATTATTTCCATGCAAGTAATTATTTTGGCTGGACAGAAAATCAAAATTTATAATAACACTATCTAAGCAGAGCCAAGTCACCTAATTCTCAAATATCAACCTATTATTTAAATTTTTGAATACTTTCAATGCCAATGACTAGTTGATGCAAGGCCAATGTCTAGTTCAGTGGTTCCCAAAGTGGGCAATGTTGCCCCTCTGGGGGCCTGTCTCTTATACACATCTAGATGTGTATAAGAGACAGCTGTCACTCACTGCAGTGAGTTCTAAGTTATATTTTTTTACCTTACATACCTCATTTTACATGATACTGATTTACCTCATTAGCCTGGTAATAACAAACAGACAGATAAAACGTGTATAACATTAGGGTTTTTGTTGCAGCCATTTCAGAATAAATAACACTTGAAGTTTGTGCTCAAAAATCCATCAAAANACTAGATCACATTAGAAGGCACAAGATCGCATTAGATGGCACAAGATTGCATTAGAACGCACTAAATCGCATTAGAAGGCACTAAATAGCATTAGAAGGCACTAGATCGCATTAGAACGCACTAGATCGCATTAGAAGGCACTAGATCGCATTAGAAGGCACTAAATCGCCTTAGAACTAGAACATATCCATACCCAGGATGGTGCCGTTTTCCGCGGATTAATCCGGCGTTGGGCACTCTTCTGCTGTTGGTCATTAAGCATCGGCTAAATCGATCGCGAAGGCTTGCGTTTGTGTCAATAATCTGGCATTGCCCACGCCCCACATCGATCATAAAGTGCGCGCATCAGTGTTGATCATTGGGTATTGGCTAAATCGATCGTAAAGCGTGTGTGTTTCTGACGATCGTCAGTGCTTCTGCCCATCTTGATCATGCGGCATTGGTGACTCATGGTGTTGGTGACTAAATGGTGAGGGTTACAGTTTCATTTTTTGAAAGCATATTGGCAACTTTCTTACCTGGCGTACTGGCGTACATCCCAAAATAAACCTCCGGCGTACACACCGCACCTTCCTGACCATGGCCTAATAGGAAGAGTTAACATCTACAAATATACTATCAAAGTATTGAATCAGCAGATCACAAACTATTAACTATGGAGTTTGAATTAAATTCTTGTAAAATCATCTCAAAGAGCAGACACTCACCATATTCAAGGCTACATCTAGCATGGGTGCCAGAGACAATTGCTGATGAAAAAGTGGAACGGCATCAACTATTTCCAATTCAGATGTTTTCCCAGCATCCAATGATGGTCCTAATAGAACTCCATTTACAGCTAAGTGGCTCCATCGAGCAGAGTGAAGCACTATTTTAGCTAAAGCTGCACATTTTATGTTAACTTGATTATTACTCGACATTGCATCCACTGATCCACAAATCAAGATTAATAGCCTTATTAGCCTACTACCGTAGAAATGATCGGCAGACAGCAATCCACTGTATACCAAAGAAATATCACATTCCCAAAGCGGAATCCGGATAAGTGTTACCCGGATAATTTAAATAAAATTTATTAAAAATTTTTAGGTGCATAAAATCATATAAATAATCACTGTAATTAACTTATTCTTCGTTGAAAGCTTGTGTTTTTAATATTACAAAGAGAATACTGGACGATAGCGATTGAAAATTTAACAGGTTTGAGTATAGATTAATATTGAAGATGACAATAATGGAAACCAGACTCATCGTTGAACTGTTGAAATAATTCAACAATGTATCGGCTTTTATTGCCGAATGGTGCGTCACTTGGGGAACTTGCGACAAAGACAACTTCATCTAACGTCTTCAACAAATTTCTTAACCGAAGAAAAATGATCAGCCAAGAACAGATTCATACTAAAAGAGTGAATTGTTCGAAACTCTGCGACAGTGCACATGTATGCATGTAGTGTATTTTCATAGTATGTAAATATCGCTCAGGTTCTTCATTTTAATTTTTAAACTAACACAGGGTGGCCATATTTTTACAATCGCAAAGATTGAAGTAGTGACTTGCAGTTTGAAACCTCTGCTAGCTGCAGAAAACTCTAATTGAAATCAGCGATGTGTTCGATTGGTCATGAACGACAGGACTTGTACAGCGAGTCGAGTATTCCATAGAGCATACCGTGGTGGAAACTTTCTATATCGTTTAAAGTTCTAAACGTTATCTATTGCAGTAACGACTAATTATTTAGTAAATTATTAAACCGTAGGTCCAACATGAAACACGCTACATACGGCATTAAGCTTCAAAATAGACAAATATTCAAATCATAATCTACGTTGCCATTCACTACCTCTGGTGTTGTTGAATATGCGCTGAACTAAAATCGGTGAGCAAATACTAACGTCGGTAATCAGATGTAACACAGAAACAGCGAGAAGCAATCATATACACATCCTACTTTATTAGTGATTGACGATTGTCCAATACTTCATTATTCCTCTACAAAAGAATTATTTTACAACAAATCAAATTAGGTATCTTGAACACGATCTAAGACTTAATTATGAAAAAGGGAAATAAGAAGCATAAAACAGGAAGCTGTACTCGATATTTATTGAGCACACCCGAACATACTACAAATTTTTATAGTTCATAATAACAGAGATGATAGTAATGGAAAGGGCAATAAAGGGCGAAATTAATATACACGTCACTCATGTATGTTAACACGACAGTCGGATCATTTACTCAAATTGAACCCAGTAAGTTGATGGCGTTTTGTAGAATTGTACTATCAAACTAAGCAAATGAAACTGCTCGTGATGCCGACATCTAGCTAACAATGCCCCCGCGGATGTTGCGAAAATCATACCAGCGATAATTTGTTGGAAGATTCCATAATAAAGAACGTTGTACATAGCAAGGCAGGCCAATTGAAAGAAATTATAGCCCGAATACAACAGTAGAACGGAATAGAGTAGAGAAGGCGCTAAAAACGCTCATCTTTGCTGTAGAATCAATACGACTTCGTTGATGTCACCCAGTCCACATCGTACGGAGGGAAAAGCTCTAGTGCTCTGGTAACCGACATCCCTCTTCTATTGCAACATATCAAGCATAACAAGGGAAAACATCTCATAAATTATGCTACAGACAAGCATACAAAATGAACGCACATCTACACAGACCTTCAAAAAAAAACTAAACCCGAAATCGAAGCAACAGCACCTTTTCAATCAATTTTTCTACAGACACACTGACCCTTTGATTGCTGCACGAAGCAAATCTCGAGAAAATCACTGTACACACACAAAAACAACTAAAGCTAAGAAAAAGAAAACCAGGGAACTTCCGTTACAGTGGCCTCGGGTCTTTTAAAGAGCAAATGCTGAATGACATCTCATTTGTAACGTTCGGAAAATTGTCCAGCTAAAATACATGCCGTACTCAGACCGCCACGAGTAAGACGTGCAGCTTGTGACTGCTAGCCGGTAACATCAGTGCCCGCGCAATTCTGTTTATTTACAAGTCCTCATTGCTTAAATGAATAACGACAGAGGTCCAACGGCACCCCAGCTTTTGAAAAGAAACTATCATGTACGTACGCAATTCACCAAGATGAATACTTAAGAAAGAGAAGTAATAAAGCAATGGACGTCTACTATTTACACATAGTTTGGCTAATCAACGAAAGATTCCTGCTAAATACGGTGTTAGATTATTATTGATTAAGTAAAAGAAAACTATTAGTATTAGACGATAGTCGATGCATATTTGTAAAACCCCTGGATTAGGACAAATTCAAAATGCTGAATTTAGAAATTACCCGGAGCCGGCTTTAGGAAAAATGTTCATTTATTGAAAAACAGACTTCTAACACTTTCAAAATTAAGAGACATTTAGCATTGGAGCATCGTTGGAAAATTAAATCAAAATTTAAGGAATATACTCTTCAAATTTGCCACGTACTGGACATCAAACTTTACGTAAAATTACCAAGAAAGATGGTAATTTAAAGCTAGTTGCAAAAATTCAGGTATTCAAAAACAGAGGTAGCATGGAAGATTAACACGAAGAAACGTAATTCGGAAGTAAAGAGTTCCTTCCGATGTTGCTGGAGGAGCTACACTCAAACACTGAAGAGAAGTAATAAAAACTTTAGTATATAATATTCAAAAGCGAAAATTACCGCTAATAAGAGGTTCCACTTTCTGGCCATGAAGAATTCAAGAGGCGATGTTTAACAAACACGAACTACATTAATGAAGAAGCTTAAGACCTACCGACACACATCCTATGGCCAAGGCATTCATAAGGTATAGCTTCATTAAACGTACGCTTTCTTCTACAAGCTAGCGGTGGCAACGAGGTGAAATTGTGAAGCTGGTGGAGGTGATATCAATGATGACGAGGATGATACATGACATCAGTGACTGCAATGAACATACGAGTGATGACCGTGACTATGAAGATGAGTGCTAACGTTATGCTTGGCGATGGAGAGATGATTTACCACTGGACGAAAGAAGCAAGAACCCCCCAATGGGCACAAGCAGTGATTAGACTGCCATAGGTCACTATATTTAATTGAAGAAATATATCATTGCCTGACATAGTAATAAACCACAAACAATTATGATAACAGACAAGATGTACAGCACGATGTCGTCCATGAAAAAAATGTTTAAGCTCATAGTCAGTCAAATTATGGGACTACGTAACGTTTGATCAGCTGATACAGAGATCCAGACGTTGAAATGGCTTAATCTTTACCAAATTTACGGAGGATACACGAAAATTCTATACGCGAGAGTTTAATCCCACTTGAGTCGATATTAGCAAGTCCAAAGTCACGAGGCCCCCACTATACAAAATGATTCTAGTCACGATTCTACACAAAATGACGTTCTGAAAGCTATTACACAGCATTAGTTCTCATCAGATTTAGCATGAACAAACCGTAGTGTTAGGTTTTGAAAGCCGAGCCGTCGAGGACTTTATCATATCTTTCTAAGACTCAGTCATGCCAATACTCGGAAAAATAGAACAGCTAGAACATCATAAACGCATTCTATCCATCGTTATCGTTGATTAGTCGAAAAGTATACCCAAATTTAACCGCGAAAACAACGCTATCCACGTTAAGGATACAGGACTCCAACCCAACTTAACTACAATTTATTGAAGAAACATTGCAACTCACAGGAGGAATTCAGACAAGCCAAAAGCAGACAAACGAATAACATACGATCATGGAGATGACAAAACTAGAGACGGGGGGTCATGAGCATGAATATAAATGATCACTTAAAATAGTCTAGTGCATTTCTCATATTTTCTGTATTTTCTCGCCCTTAATTACTGGGTTATTGCGCCTTATTTCCTCAGCTCCAAGCTCCCGATAGTCGAAGGTGCAGCGATGCTCGTTGCTGTAGCGATGAACTGAACAGAATAGGCCTCCGCAGCGGCAAGTGAAGCCTGAAATCAAATGCACGGTCTCAACAATATTGAACGAGTTTGTTCAATTTAACAAATTAATAAGTCGAGAAACGGACAAAATAAAACAGTAATAACGATCTTCACAGCATATCAGACAAGTAATAAGCAGTCGCCTACCTTTTTACCTTTTCAAATTTCGCGGATGAAAAAGAAACACTTAACAATGAACGGATCCGCATAAAACATTAAAAATCACCATCAAGATTTTCTCCTCAACACTTATTTCAACAACTTCCACTCTAAGAAGAATTTTATTCAAGCTGTCTCGCTAATCAGTTTCCAGCCATCTTGATTATAACTACATTTGCAAACAATTGGTAAATAAACGCTAAGGTTTCCGTCACAAATGGAAAAATAACTATCCTCTTCTTCAATTATGTTTTACAATTAACTGAACATTATTCGAGTGAACAAAGTAAAAACCGCATACCTGTGAGTCCAACTTTCTTCTTGCAAGATTGGCATTTGTTTTTCTTCTTCTTGGCTGGCTCCTTGTCAGAGGAACTGGAGGAATCCAGTTCAGCGTCGAGAGGCGAGGCCGCAAGAGCCGCAGCAGAGCTCAGATCACCGGGACAAAGTCCTGGCAAAGCAGAGTTGCCTTCACATCCGTCGCCGCCTTCGTTGTTACAACTCTCCTGAGGGCAAACGACAAACTATGAAACAGTCACCTAGATGTTAACACGTCTACAAAAGTGAAAACTCTAGTTCATGGTCTCTGAATATTTCAATAAATTTTAAACTGTACACATTTTCCCGCGATTCATAAAAAGCCATTTCTGTTATGACCATCCTCGGTCGAATTCTCTCAAAGTAAATCATGAGTATATGTTGGATATTATAGAATATCGTCTTCCAAGAGGCACATATACTATTGAACTCGTGAGAAGCGAGCTACAATTTCTCAGACTGAGCCTAAGGCAAATCTGGCTATTAGTCGATATTTCTCGAATGCTAGCACATTCCAGTAATGCGTCAAACGATAAACAGGAGGGACTCGACCCACCCAATTGACCAACAAACTATTCACGTTAGAAATAATGAAGGCATCCCGTTGATGAAATACTAGGTTTCCTTAATTTTTGTAATATCACATAAAAATACAGCAGAACTTATAAAAAAAACATCACTGACAATATACCGAACGTCACTTCTTGGCCGTCAACTGAAAAATCCCATAGCTGCAGTGGCTTTCCTGCAATAAAATTTTAACTTCTAGATTGACTTCACTGGGCCGCCTCTCAGCACTATTAACAAAGTCGATTGTAGCAATCTTGTCCAAACAATCTGCCCCGTAAACAGCAACAGATATTTTGCCGCATCGAGGAGAACCACTAGACACTAGTATAAAAATTTTGACGGTCGTTCGTACAAAGCTTTACTACAGACGGAATCGAAATAATTTGCAGCCGAAGATAATCTCAGAGTATCCTGCTACTCACTTTCACGACAAAAATTCAGACACTTGGAGGAAAAAAGTTCAGTAGACTACTCACTTAATTCATTGCAGCAGATTTGATGGAAAAATCTGTTTTACATCACAACCTATGACCATCCAGCTTTTCTATCATTTACGTATCCAAAATACTTTTTACTGCAATGAGCACTAATGGGCCCATTTATTGTTGCAACCACTCACATCTAGTCTACCGATAACCACAACTGATATTAGCCAACGAATGAATACGTTTACAATTATCTCGGGCAAATCATCCTATCCGTATATGTAATTCGAAAAGTTTCATGATAGTTTATCAAGAAACTAAAACGAACCAACCTTGCATGAATCGAAACTAATTAGTGCTACTTTACCATTGCAATCGAGCTCATCGTTAACTTGGTTATCATATAGACGCTGATTAATTAGTATATATAATGGCGGCAATCTTTTTTTCTCTACCCTTGAAAAAAAGTTTATGTTTTATTTCTCATTAAAAATTAAGCTTTATCGTCTTGTATTCTAGTATTCCTAGTTTTTTACGCTACGATAGTTTCAACACATAACTCTACTTAGCCCTTTTTGTACCACGCCATATGAACAACCTTGATTATTCAAATAATTCATAACAAGAAAAAAAGTCATTGAAAAGACAGAATAGTTTTCCTATACACGATTGAACAGACCGAGGAAATAGATGGGACGGTAGGCTGAGCTGTGGAGGTAGCCAAATGGGATGCTGCAGAAGGAGAGGACGAGGAAGAGGCTAGCGTCGTTGCTACGGCAGCTAATGATGTGGACGACAGTGGGGGCGATGGAGGAGGTGAAGTGTTCCTCGAGGATGCTAGTGTTGGAGGTGGTGTGCTGGGCGTACTACTGCTGCTGGGGCTACTCTGAGGTAGTGGTTGTTGTTTCTTCTTGAGGTGGTCTTTGTAACATTTGGAGCAGAGCCCGTCTGTGTTGGAGGACCCAAAGAAACCGCATCCGTTTCGACACAGTATGGGCACCGCCTCCAACTGGTTGCTCTCACTGCGCTCCATTTGTCCAGACACCTGCAAAATAAACTGCATTTAAGTGATGCCAACCAAACATACGTCATAGTTAGAAAGAATATAACCAGCAACTTGAAATTAATGACGATGCACAAAAATTACATTGCCTATGTTTCAACATAAATTTGAAATATACTAAATATTAAAATTAAAGACGATAGAATATTAAGATCATTTGACGACTAAATTTCAAACATACTCGTCATTTGTTATGGAACTTCTCAAATCAATATTTCCAACAGTCCCAGGTCATGTACTTTTTATAGAATTGCGAACAATTTCCATTACTCTTTCGTACCCTTTCAAGACATCCGTAGAAATTAATTTGAAAATTTGATCTATAATTAACCAATGATTTCAAAGTAAATAAAATGATAATTAATTATATTTCACTGCAACGTTTCGAAGAAGTGTGGTATGAATAGCTTATAATCGCTTCTAAAGCTAGTTTTGGATTTTTTACTGACAATTTTATTAATATTCTTGGCTTTTAAATTCATGCTTATTTGAAGCTCAGATGAGCCAAATATTATGGTATTATGGATAATTTATGTATCCAAATATTATGGATACGAAACAAATAAAATTATCCGTAACAATTCGATAATGAATGCAAGACATGTGACTAATGGAAAACGGAATAACGTTAGGTCTTTTTCTATCCCAACGCTCAAACAAAATGTGTGAGAAAACATACACTGCACTTTACCTTGGCGGTTTTGGGGGACGAAGCTTGAAAGAAAGAAGCGTCAGGAAACGCTGCGAGGTCCAGGTGATGGACGCTCAGTAGAAGCCTGGCCAGCGACCTTCACTCGGCGCGCGGACACCTGAAAAAAATGAGGTAGCGTTAGGCGAGTGAGTGGCGATAACGGTGTATGCTGTGATAGAGCTGAGAGCATCCAAGGTTATCGGCTTACAGGTAATGTAAATTAACGTTGCATTCTCTGCCACGCACGGTATGACGCAAGCGTTTCCGCAAACTTATCTAAATAATGCAAACACAATTCTTCAATAAAAATTGAACGGTAGACTACGATCGACAAAAAATCAGACATTCAGACAGGGATGGTTTAGTACTAATGTTAGCAAAAATTATATTAAAATCCGATAACAACAACAAAGCGTAGGATGATAATTAAAACTTGAGATTTAAAAATCATAATGTACATGGGTAAAGTACAAGACGGAAATAACAAGCAAGCTCTAGACTTTTATATAACTTTCGAGGTTTTTAGAGTAACTTGTAAGCTTGCTATCATGTTAACCATCATTTTCCATTTCCTATTTCGTCGTTAGGCATTGGGCAAGTTCAGAATAAAATATCACCAGTAGGTACCGTAGTCAGTCAACAACAGGCGTTGGTTAAGCCTACGAAGAATTTCCGTACGGATTACGGAATTTCAGCGAATTAAAATACGAATCGCACTTGAAATTTAATATCAACCTTATGTTAATCATGATAATGCTCTCTAGCATGATGCATTTAAATTTCATTTGAATGAGACCGCGGCGATGAGAACAGCACCAACGAGCGTCCCACACGGGAGGTCAAAGAAGCACAGAAGAGGGAAGGGGAAGACCGCGCGCGTCTCAGCGAAGCTGGCGAAGCGTGTTTGCGTCACGCTTTTTGCCAAACGTGGAAATTTTGCTCAAAGATGCACGATCAACAGGAAAGGGTATATATGGCGTGGCTTCTCGCAAGCGCACGCTTTACACCAGTGGTTCCCAAAGTGGGCGATATCGCCCCTTTTGGGCGGTGGAAAGATCTGAGGGGGGCGGTGAGGAAGAAAGGGGCAGTAGGGGGGGCGGCAGTCCGCGAAGTCGTAGTCAGGAGTTCGTACGTTTGTTTGACGATTTTTACACAACACATGCAGCAGATGACTCCGAATCGAATAAATTTTCACGAGCTAAAAATCACCGTTTGGTAGTTAGGAATTTATAGTCAAAATTTCGTTCGAATCTGTTCAGTAGTTTGGAAGAAATTCTTTGATCACTGCGAATATCGGTACATATCGCCATATAACTCCCGAATGAAGGTGAAATTTAAAAAATTTTCACGAGCTAAACATCGTCGTTAGGTCCTAAAGAATGCGTGTTCCTTGTGCAAAGGGCTGATAGGATAGCCAGGGATTTAATTAACATTGCGGCACAAATTCTTTCAAGTTTTATCGAGCTACTTTCATTCGTTTGGGAGATATTCCTTGGTCACTAAATTTTTAAGATTGGCCGTGAGACCGGCAGCGAGACCGGCCACGAGTCCGGCCGTAAATTTGTCCGAGCCGTCTTGAATTTCTAATGCTGAAAGAGTTAAAACTGAAAAAATATATATCGGTTTGCTAAATGGGGTTCTATTTGTGAAATACACATTTGTATTTAACCTTATTATTTTAAAATTGCTGCGTACTAAATATCAAGAAAGAAGCGTTTGTTTTCATATGTGTGTCAGGGGCTGAGGGGAGGGGGGCGCCATGGATTCACTGGGGAACCAAAGGAGACGCCAGCCTGAAAAAGGTTGGGAACCTCTGATTTACACCAACGGAAAATTGCAATGCTGCCTCAACCAAGCGAACGTTTCAAACAAAACTGATACGCACTCTCAGCAGTCACAAGCAGTTTACTTTCAGAATGCAAAAAAAGTATAGCTCTATTGAGCCTAGAATGTTTTACGGAGACAGGATCGGCCAGGGAGAGAAGATTCATCAAATATTGTAAGTGAAACTCGCGGTTAATAAAGCACGAATCTGCACAGCAGCTATTTCATCACGCAGGAATTCGATCCATCACGGCTCTCTTAATTCACTTCCACATACACTCATGACAAATAATTCACGGAGCCTAAGTATACTTGAAACACGCTTTGAAATAGTGAAATTTTTCTTAGTACAACAAGAATTTTCTTGTCATTTATTGAGAAAATTTCTTGTCTCATAAATATTTGAACTACAACTAACGGTGATAACATTTTCCAACCGTAAAATTACTTAATTTGCTTGGCAAAAAGTAGCTGCAGAGCAAATTACAATAAAACATGGGAATCAAACAAAAATTTCAATTCTTTATAAATTTTGCGCGCGACAAGCAATGAAAATAAGTAATGCATACTACGAGACCAGCTTATAAGTGAACGAGATCATAAGACCAGCCTATAAGTGAACGAGATCATAAGACCACCACCCAGCGTCCAATGACGATACCAATGATAAGAAGAACTGGCCCCGTTGCACGTGAGAGCAAAAAGATAACAGGAAGTTGCCAGCGCGTGCACGAGACCACAGCATGCACGTGACCGCACGTATCTACAAGACGCAAACTGAGAGTTCGTGGAGGGAGNCAACGAGAGCACAGCATGCACGTGACCGCACGTATCTACAAGACGCAAACTGAGAGCTCGTGGAGGGCGGGTGGAAGTGATGGAAGTTCTCCACAATAAAGTGAACCAAAGAGATGGAGAGAACGTAACCATAGTGATGCGAATTACTTTCAAGCGCTACAAAAGCTGGTGCAGAATCAAGTCATCAAGTGACAAAACGGTAATGCTTCATGAATTAATTGAAGCTCAACGATTACGAAATTGGCCGGAAAAACTACTAAGCACTGTTCTGCAGTAAAGGCAGAAGATAATATGAAAATTACGACATGAAGTGGTCGTTTGCTGTTGCACACTATCTATAAAGGATATAAATTCAGTTAACATTCAGGATGCACAGAGATCATTAAATACTCTTGAAAACCATCAGTTTAGACACAGTTTAAAAATTTCAGTTTAGGCAAACACTAACATACTCCCGAAATATTGTTTACTTATCAACGATACAAAAATACGACTATCGATGTAAATAATTCAACTCTGGTTCGGTTTATCGAATAACATCCTAATGATCCATACAATTCAAGCGCATTAGGACGACCGATGTCTTGTGAGGAGGCCGCCCCCAGGCGGTGATATATCTCATTATATTTTCACTTTCAATCGATTATTCGCTGATGTACGTGATACTTTCTATAAGTAATTGGGTCATACCAAGCAGCGACACGTACACTGACCTATACGTTCACACACGCACTTTCACTTCTGCCGTGAATGCAATCTGACGTAACTTGCCGTTACTTGCGCTAGTCCGGCTTCTGATACACGGAAATGAAACCAGCATCTCACGTTGATTACACACGCTCGATCAGAAGCGCAACGTTTTTCATCAAGTTTTCATTAATCGTTTTCTAAACCAATGTAACTATTCTTGATAACAGGTCCTGTACATCAGAAGAAGAAAAATCCGTCCCACTTTAATCCGTCCCACTTAAGACCAAACGCATAAAATTCTGAATGTGAAAACATTGATAGCCCAAAAACCTGTTTGGAGATCTGGGTCAGCTCACGCAACTAGGAAGAGATGCACGCGAGTAAAAACAAGTTCAAAATGACCTGGGAATCTGTTTAAACACGATTTTTATTCATTGTGTGATATAGGTAAGTTCGAGCGTCAGAGCTCTGAAGGATAAATCGCTCGATATTAAAATCATTCAATAATCAGAGACAAGTTGATATTAGCATTCAAACTAGAATGACTGCAACACATGATCGTCATTTCACATTTAAAGATCCTAAATGTAATAAGTGATCATTTGTTCATGCGATTATTAAGACAATTCTACTTAGAAACCTACATAAATAATAATACATAAATAAATCGGGAATAAATAGCATCGGTCCACTAAGTTAAGAAGAATTGATAATAGTAGCCTGGAGTACGTGGGTTACTTCGAAGCTTAGAACACAGAGGGTAATGACTGCATGCTGAGGCAAATGGAAACTAGTTATCATGAGCCACCGAGAAAAACCTGATGGCCCAGTGACCCGGACGGTTGGAGGAGTTTCCCTATCAGAAGACGAGAGAGAAAGTGCAGCGGTAGCCGCGGCAACTCTCGCTCAGCCACGGATGGATAATTGCGGTGGCAAGGCTGAACGAAGGCTTTAACTGCTGAAGTTGTCACCGGCAAGTAAAAGTGTTGAGACGAATGCAAGAAGTATTAACAGTGTTGCTCATTCCGAGCAATGGAAGGTTTTGTCAAAAAAATGAAACATAGTTGTAACACGAATTTAGTTCAGCAGCAGCACGTCAATAACTCTAAATTTGTGTAAAAAATTACAAAATGGTTCAATGAAACATAAGGAAAATTCACACTCAGTGAATTTGATCAACAACAATTTAACAATAATTGCAATGCCGTTAAGAAGTAGATAGAAAATCAACCAAATTAATTAAGTAACTTACAGCATGAAATTAATGAAAAATAAGCTTAGCCATATGGTGATGAAAGCTCAATGGCAAATTGGACACAAACTGTACGAAAAATTTCGCGAAGGAAGCTAGACCTGCTCAAACGTCATAGCAATGAGACAGTTACAAACCTGAACGAACACCATATTTGCAACAATATACAAAATTTAAATCTAAGAATTTATTGAAGTTATGTGAGCTTCGCAAAGAAATCAGGAATGGGATGAATTTCATAAACGGGCTTGTCGGTTGCAGAGGACACTTGTACGTGGCGGCCCGTGACCCTTGCTAGAAGCCACTTAGAATCAAGTGATCCATATCGCGGGCCAAGTTCGTGCAAGACAAAGAATGAGAAAAAAAAACGTCTGAAAATGTCGAGTTACATTCGCCGTAAATGCCACAAGTAGTCATGAACTAGAAAGTGGGTAGTGCTTCTCGGGGACTAGCTAGACTATTAATTAAATATTTGAATAATTGCCCCTGGATTGCCATAATATTTTATAACCCCAACAAGTTTTTCCTGATGGTCGGTCAAGATTTATAGCCGA